TGAACTCTGGGCCTGGGCGCTGTCCCTCAGCTCTTCAGCTCAAGGCTGGCGCTCTACCACTTGAGCCACAGCGCCACTTCCAGTTTTCTGATGGTTTTGTTGGAGGTAAAGCTTTCATGGACTTTCCTAACTGGGCTGGCCTTGAACCATGATCCTCCGATCTCAGCCTCCTGAATAGCGAGGATGACAGGCGTGAGCCACCGGTGCCCAGCCCTATTCTTTTTTTTTTTTAAGAATTTTTTTTTGCCAGTCTGGGGTTTGCACTCAGGGCCTCAGCACTGTCCTGAGCTTTCTGCTCAAAGCTGGCGCTCTACCAAGTGAGCCACGGCACCTCTTCCGGCCTTTTCTGTGTATGCGATGCTGAGGAATCAAACCCAGGGCCTCATGCATGCCAGGCAAGCGCTCTACCACTGAGCCACCTTCCCAGGCCTAAAAATATATTTTTTAAGATTCTACACAGAGAAAAATTACATCGCAGCCCTACTGCAAGAATGAACGCTCACCGTGCCCGTCGGACTCTCGAATATCCCAATCTTGCCGGCCTTCAAAACCCGGTACAGCTCTGCCATGAACTCCTTCTGGATGGAATAGGGCGGGAAGGGAAAGGGGAAATGGACGCCGCTGGCCTCCTGGGTGTGGTTGGCCATGGTCCTAGGGGCAGAGAGAGAAATCCGCTAGTGCTCCCACAGCCAGGACAAGGCTGCCACTCGGAGGCGGGGCGCAGCGCCCCCTGCACCCCAGCAGCGTCTCCCGGGGTCGGGCAGAGACCAGGGCGCCCAGGTGAGGGATGAGCACGGGGAGGAAGAGCCACACCACGCTGGCTGCGGCACCGGGGGAAGGCAATGAGCAGAGGCCAGGCGCCCACCGCACCCGGCAGCCCGCACGGCCCGGCGCCACCCTCAGCGTTGGGGGCCCTGGAGACCAGCTGCCAGCCTTGGAACGAAGACTGCCAACGGCGCCTCCTACAAGCCGGGCTCTCAGGACCTGGCGCACAACATGGCAACAGAGACCGAGTGGGATTTCTGTTCCTCCACGCGCGCGCGTGCACACGCACACACACACACACGCACACACGCGCGCGTACACACGCACACACGCGCGCGTACACACGCACACACGCGCGCACACACACACACGATGCACACGCACACACGATGCACACGCACACACACGCACACACGATGCACACGCACACACGCGCGCGTACACACGCACACACACACGATGCACGCGCGCACGCGCGCACACACACACGATGCACACGCACGCGCACACACACGATGCACACGCACGCGCACGCACGCACACACACGCACGCACGTGTGGTAATCTGGGGGAATCTACACCAGCAGCTGCACCTGT